ATGCAACTGCTGCATGGGCAAAGGCTTCATCTGGGAGTGGTGAGGCCGATTGGGAGACGTGGCACGAGAGGCTGTGTCATGTGAACTTTCCTATGCTGCAGAAGTTGGTTAAGGATGGGAGCTTGAAGGGGTTGGAGGTGAAGGGGGCAGCGAAGGAGATTGGGAGCTGCCCTACATGCCTTGAGACGAAATTCACCAAGTTCCCCTTCAGCAGCAGCACGGGACAAGCCAAGGCACCGCTCGCGCTTGTGCACATGGATGTGGTGGGCCCCACGAGGGCCCTTTCTCTCTCGGGCAGCCGCTACTTCTTGACCATTGTGGACGACCACACGCGTGCGGTGTGGGTCTACCCTCTGAAGACTAAGGGGGAGGTGGCAACGGCTGTTCTCAAGGAGTGGATGCCGAGAGCTCAAAGGGAGAGCGGACATAAGGTGAAGGTGATCCGCACTGACAACGGGGGAGAATTCATTGGCGCTGATTTTGAGGCGGTGCTGAAGAAGAAGGGGATCCAGCATCAGCTCACGGTGCCCTACAACCCTCAGCAGAACGGTGTGGCTGAGCGGTTCAACCGGACCCTGCAGGAAGGTGCTCGCACTCTCCTTGGGCGTGCAGGGCTGCCAGATCCGTTTTGGGTGACTGCACTGCGGCAGGTCGCCCTTGTGAAGAACAGGGTGCTGGCAACAGTGGGGGACAAGCAGTGGGTCCCCTACACCAAGTGGTATGGGAGTGCACCAGCAGTCAACATGCTGAGAGCCTTCGGTTGCATGGTGGTGTTTCATGTGCCTAAGGAGAAGAGGGGAAAACTGGAAGCTTCTGGGAGATGGGGTGTGCACTTGGGGCTTGCTAAGGATCACAAGGGCTGGCTGATTTGGGACTTGACCAGCCAGCAGCTAACTGTGTCAAGGGATGTGAAGTTCCTTGAGTCCTTGTACTATAAGGAGTGGAAGCAGCAGCAGCAGAAGCTCCCTACTACACCGCTGGTCATTGAGGCCGATGAGGTGCAGCGGCCTTCGAGGCAAGTGCAGGTCACTGTCTCAGAGGAGGAGATTCCTGGGGTGACTGAGGATGGGGGAGAACCTGAGGTGGAGCAGCAGCAGCCGCAGCAGCAGCAGCAAGATGCTCCACAAGGTGCCGCACGTTCGGCTGACCGTCCAAGGAGGGATGTGCGCCCTCCTAACCGGCTGACCTATCCGAGCTTTGGCAAGCCAAAGGTGGTAAGGGCTGGGAGTGTGGCTGAGCAGTGTGATGAAGAAGAGATAGCACACTGCTACTGGGCAGCCGTCCCTGAGCCCAAGACGCTAGCTGAGGCATTGAGTGGGCCCGATGCTGAAAAGTGGAAGCAGAGTGTGAAGGAGGAGTACGACTCTCTGCTGGAGAATGAGACTTGGGAGTTGTGTGAGCTGCCTCCTGGGAAGAAGGCCATCTCTTCCAAGCTGATCTTCCGGCATAAGTACGGACCAGATGGGGAGCTGACCCGCTACAAGTCAAGGCTTGTGGCAAAGGGGTTTCAGCAGACAAAGGGGAAGGATTTTGACGAGATCTTTGCTCCTGTGGGGAAAGGCACAACACTGCGGGTGTCATTGGCAATGGCAGCAAACCGTGGATGGCGGGTGAAGCAGATGGACATCACCACCGCCTTCCTCAATGGGATCATTCTGGAGGAGCTGTACATGTTACAGCCTGAGGGATTGGATGATGGGAGCGGCAGGGTGTGCAGGCTGAAGAAGGCCATCTATGGCCTGAAGCAGGCTCCTCGTGCATGGTACCACAAGTTAGAGGAGACACTGCTGGCTGGGGGTTTCAAGAAGAGCGAGTGTGATCACAGCTTGTTCCTGCTGCAAGAGAAGGAGCAGTTTCTCATGCTCCTGGTGTATGTGGACGACATCCTGCTCTTCTCTGAGTCGTCTGCAATGATTGAGCGTGTGGAGGAGATGCTGGAGATGCAGTTTAAGTGCTCCAAGATGGGAGATGTGAAGTACTATTTGGGGATGCATGTGGAGAGGGACCTTGACAAGGGAGTGTTGAGTTTGCACCAGAGGAAGTATTGTGAGGGGCTGGCTGAGAAGTATGGGCTGCAAGATGGAGGAAAGCCAGCCACCCCACTGCCTTCAGGGTTCACAGTGGAGCCCTGTGCTGATGAGGAGGTGGTGGGTGAGAGTGATAGGAAGCTGTTTCATTCCATGGTGGGGGCACTCAATTACGCGGCTAACCACACGCGGCCTGACATTGCCTTTGCAACATCCAGGCTTGCAAGTGTGGTTGCACGCCCCAGTCATGAGCAGCTGGAAGCGGCCAAGAGGTTGGTCCGCTATGTGAGTGCAACGGCATCAGTGGGCTTGGAGTACAGTGCTGTGAGGCAGAGGCTGCAGAGGGGTGCAGCTGATTTGGGCAAGGGGGAGATGCTCCTGACCTGCTACACCGACGCCAGCTTCAACTCTGTGAAGGCGGATGGCACCAGCATTGGAGGCTATGTGTGCCTGTTTGGAGGTGGTGCAGTGAGCTGGCGCAGCAAGAAGCAGAACGAGGTGGGGCAGTCCTCGTGTGAGACAGAGTACATGGCCCAAGGAGGTGGTGTGGCTGAGGCGTTTGTTGGAGGAGATCGGAGTGTGCCAGAGGGAGCCGACTGTGATTTTCTGTGACAATGAGTCGGCGGTGAAGCTAGCGAAGAATGCTTGTCTTCATGGGCTGACCAAACACATCAGGCCTAAGTGGCACTGGGTGAGGAGGCTCCTGGACAAGGAGGTGCGGCTGGAGATTGTGAAGACCCATCAGCAGGCGGCTGACATTCTCACCAAGCGCCTGGCTGAATCTGAGCATTGGAAGGGCATGAAGCTTGCTGGGATGAGTGTGCATTGAGGGTGCATGCTTGAGCTATGGCATGTGGGATGATGGTTGGCAGCCAGAGGGGGAGTTTGTTGTGTGATGCAATCATATGCATTCACGTCTGTCTGCCTCCCATCACATGTTCGTGCGTTGCATGCGTGGTGTGAGCGTGTGCAAGAATTTGTGTTTTCTGTGGTTTGGATTCTCTGAGTGTGTGTGAATGTTATTTGGCTTGAGCAGATATCTGAAGTGACTCCTCTGCTTAAGAGCTTTCCGACGAACCAAGTATCGCTTCAATCGGAGCACGAACAATAAAGTTACGAACGTTGGAGTTCGTATGCTTTTGATATTTGGTTGTGGTGACTATGGGAAGTTGTGGGGTTGACTCAATATGGGGTACAGACGTTTGGGGGTTGGGAAATTCGTCTTTTCTACTGTAGTTGCTGCCAAATGGTTGGGAGAAACCAAACCAGGTTGGCAAGTGTGGCCAAGTTGGGTTGAGGTGGATTGTGGAGGTTGGGATAGTGACAAAGGTCAAAGTTGGGTTGCCTATGGGGAAGGGAATTGTATGGCATGGGGTTTCCTTGGTTGGGGACTCTCTTGGGACCTTCCCTCTCGTCCTCCTCATCCCTTCCACCTGGTTTAGTGCTACTCTAATTCTCTTGTGTGAACTTGTGTGAACTTGTGTGAGACTATTGTGATTGAGTTAAGATTCTATGGCAGCATACCCCCTAGTGCGCCGAAATTGATAACTCAAGAAATACTTCACCTTTTTGTACGATTAAACTTGGGAATTGTAGCCACGGAGTAGAGCTACAACATATCTGAATTTAGTGAAGTTTTGACGGTGAACTTTTCGTCGACGGCGTTTCTTGTGAACTCGACGTTTCTGTCCAGAATCCTAAGCCAACGATTTTGAGAAATTTAGGCACCTAATCTTCGTAGACTCCGTTATTAGTCTCTAACAGCTACACTGTCCCCAACCACGAAGGGTCTCGAAACTACCCTTCACTAGGGCCTACACCAAGTGAAATGTTACACTACACAAAGTAATGTAACTATCTTCAATATCTTGAGGTGTACCCTTTTGGCGAGCTTCGAAATCACTTGAGGCTTGACACCAAGGCTCGGGCTCTTCATCACAAACTCATCCTTGAGTTCTTGATGGGTCTGCTGTACACACCTGCAACACGCCGAACGTTCGACACAGGACAAAATAGAAACCGCGCACGACAAAATAGAAACCGCGCGCGAGACACAAACGACCGCGTAACACGCGTCTAGCGATAACTCGCTATTGACTCGACACACACACTCGACATCATGACTCAACATTCACACACAATTATAAGCATGAAATATATATTATCCCATGCCCTCATACCATTCCATACACACACGCATGCACGCACACGGACAACAAGCCGAGTGCAAACCGTAGGGTTGCACCAACATCCAGCACCACCCTTTACCCTGCCTCTCCCCTCCCACGGATGTTGCTGTGGTGGGGAGGTGGTGGGGACGAGGGGGTGGGGGGGCTGGCCGCCGTGTGAAGGAATGTGCAGGGAGCACCGTGGGTGGGGAGGGGCCTGGAGGAAGAAAGGGGGGGCCGGGGTGAGGTTCTAAGGGGCGGCTGAACGGGGGAGTGAGGTTAAGGGGGGGTGGTTGAAAGGGGGTGGGGAATTGGGGGCTACTAAGCGGGGTTTTGCCACGATTGGCTCCCCCCCTCCTCCTCTCCTCATCCCTCTCTCACCTCTCCCTTTGTAAAAGGGGGTTACTAAGAGGGGTTTCGCCATGACTGGCTCCCCCCCACCTCCTCTCCTCATCCCTCTCTCTTACCTCCTCCTTGATACTTCTCTCCTCTCCTCTCCTCTCTCTCTCGCGCCTCCTCCTCCTCACTTGTCTCTCTGCCCTCTTCTGCTGCGCCAGGTTTACCGCTTCAGGGGGGTGTTGACTACACTAGCTACTGTTGCAAGAAGTTTGGAGGGTGTGTTGGAATATAATTTCTATATAAACTGCTTGTTGTGTAGTTTACTGTAGTTATCCCTTGTTACTGTTGGTGGTGTACCTCATTGCTTGCTTGCATTCCTATTTGTTCCTTCCGAACTATAGTGAATCCCCCTTCTTGGTCGATACTCTCGCTCATGCCATGCTACCCTAAACCCTAAGTTCCAGAGGAGGAGGAGGAGGAGGAGGAGGAGGAGGAGGAGGAGGAGGAGGAGGAGGATGAGGAGAGGGAGGAGGAGGAGGAGGAGGAGGAGGAGGAGGAGAAGGAGGAGGAGGAGGAGGAGGAGGAGGAGGAGGAGGAGGAGGAGGAGGAGGAGGAGGAGGAGGACAACCCCTTCCTTTCGGACAATAAGGATGTGGAGAAGGTGTTCCACATTGACAAGCCCATGCACTAGATAATGTAGAGAACGCCCTGCATGCTGTCACCCGCTGTGAAAATCATAGTGCAATTCTTTTATCAAATCTGAACTCTTGTTGTGAAACCTGAAGCGTCAGAGTGAGCCTTTGTTGGACACTGAGCAATCAGAGCAGCGTTCCTCTAGAAAGTATGCTCTCACAGTACAAGGGGATTTTCTTTTTAGAATTCAGGGAGGCCAAATTTGAAATGCCAGCCCTGTTGGAGACGTCCGGTTCGTCTCCACTCCAAGCCTCAAGAGGAGTCTTGTTTAGCAAGGTCTCGGTCAAGTTTCGGTTGTGAATCCAAGTTGTGAACATTTTTGCCCCACCCCACCAAGATTTGTCGCATGAGCATGGGCAAGCATGCTCCTAACCGCCTCAACCAAAGTGTGGTTCAAGCGCTCTGCCGCTCCAATTTGTTGAGGTTGGTGAGGAACCAATATGTCGTAGAATGATCCTCTTGCCCTGAACCATCCGTCGAGCTCCTTGTTCACGTACTCTCCTTCCCCAAGCAACCGAATCCGCTTTACGAGTAGTCAATTGCGTTCCGTATCAACAAGCGCCACCCACTTCTTGATTGCCGTGGAAGTTGCGCTCTTGTCCTTGAGGAGGTAGACCCACACCATTCAGATAGCGCCGTTGAGGAGAGTGAGAAAGTAGCGAGCTCCACCCTTGGAGGTGGGGGTGATTGGTCCACACATGTGAGGATCGAAGGAACTGGTTCAGAAATTATAATATGATAGCCTGGGTACAAGACGAGGCTATATATAGGCTCGACACAAAGGCAGTAACCCGGGTGTTACTAGAAAGGTTCCGCGGGTCGCGAAGCATCCCGAACGGGTCGCGAAGCATCCCGAACGGGTCCTTCCCAAATTCGGTAGAAGTCAATTCGGTGGCAACCGAAAAGCCTAGAATTCGGTGCACTCAACCTAGTTTGGTGCCTAGAACTATAATAAATATAGTAAAGCAATGAACCTAGGAAATCAAGCAAATGCTTGCAAGATAAATTAAAGCTAAGCTAGATAATGCATAATAAAGCAGAATCAAGCAAGTAAAGTCCAGCAAAGCCGTCGTACTCTCACACGTCCCCCCCTCAAAGCTGGGTGGCGTGAGACACACCCTGTTTGACAAGATAGTCCTCGAGAGCATGGCGTGTGTTGCCTATATCAGCTTCTGCAACCCAATTGTCCTCCGATGGGTCATATCTCTTCCAGTGTATCAAGAATTCGAGTGTATTGCTGCGTCTGCGTCGATGAGCGAGAACTCGTTCCACCTCGTACTCTGGTTCATCCTGTACGAGAACAGGTGGTGGTGGCGGTAGCTGTCGTCCCTGGAACTGCAGGTTGGGGTCCTTGTAGAGCTTCAGTAGCTGAACATCGCCTCAATGCGAAAGGGACCACAGAAGCGAGGTCGGAGCTTGGACGGAAGATGAGACAAGTCCAAGATGCGTGTGTCAAGAAGCACCTGATCTCCGACTGCTACTGAGTGGTCTCGTCACTGTCGATCAGCATACTGCTTCTGGGAGTTCCGCATCGTGGTGAGACGTTGCTGAGTCTTCTCCCATAGCTGTTGTATGGTGGTGACGAAGTCATGTGCGGCTTGGACGTGTGCCGGTGTGGTTGGCTGCTGTGGTGTAAGTGGTTCCCGTCTATAGCACAGGAAGAAAGGAGATTTCCCTGTGGCCGCATGTGACGCGTTGTTGTAAGCGAACTCAAGTGTCGGTAACTGTAGATCCCAGTGGCTGATGTCGTCTTTGCAAGCTGCGCGCAGTAACTGTTCAACCACCTGATTCAGTCCTTCAGTTTGTCCGTCTGGGGGTTGTAAGCTGAAGACATTGCAAGCTTTGTCCCCAACAATCTCATTCTGGGAGTTCCCTCTGAGACTTACTAGTGAATTTTGGGTCTCTGTCTGAGATGAGTGTAGCGAGGATGCCGTAGATGGTGATTATGCGGTCGAAGAAGAGGCGAGCAGTTTCTTCAGCTGTAGCCGTGACGTTAGTCAGAATGAAGTGTCCCATTTTAGAGAACTTATCGATCACCACGATTATAGCATCATGGCCTCGTGAGGTCGAAGGAAGCCATGTGATGAAGTCGATGCTAACGACTTGCCATGGCTGCTCCGGTACGGGTAGAGGCTGAAGTAACCCTGCTTTTTTCTGCTTGCTACTCTTCATCCGCTGGCACGTGTCGCATGAGGTGACGAACTGCTGCACGTCTGCTGCCATCCGGGGCCAATAGTAATACTTCGCTATTCTAGCTAACGTCTTGTTGCTCCCAAAATGTCTCGTGTATGCCACGTCGTGGAACTCCTCCAGTAAGAGCTGTCGGAGTGGGGCATAGTTCGGTACCCAATTTTTTCCTAAACCTTTCCTTACCGCTAAGTCTTTCTCCCACTGTAACAGCTTCTGTTTCTATGTTGTAGCGATCTCTGCGTCCACGGAGTACCCATGGTGGAATAGACCTTTGAGTAGAGGGTTCATCCAGTCGAGCTGGATGCCTGCTACATGCCCTTGGCGGATTAGTGCGCCTGCTTTGTTGTGTAGCCCTGGCTTGTAGAAGATGTCGTAGTGGAAGTGAGTTTCTGGGAAGTCCACCCACCACACCTGTCGTCGTGAGAGCGTAGGCTGCGACTTCAGGTAATTGAGACAGTAGTGGTCAGTGTAAACTGTAGTCTTGGCTCCCTCTAGGCAACACCTCCACGCCTTGAAGGCTGTGACTATCGCTAAGGCTTCCTTGTCACGGATTGGGTAATCCAGTTCTGCTCCGTGTAGCTTTTTGCTGAGGTAGGCGATGGGCTGCAAGCCGCGTCCGTGATCCTGCCTCATACTGCTCCGACTGCCTGGTCACTAGCGTCTACTTCCACCACGTATTCTCTGTCTGGATCCGGTAGGAAAAGTACTCGGGCAGTAGTCAGTGCTGTCTATAGGTGCTCCATGGCTTGCTGTTGAGGAGTATCCCATTCATAGGGCGTATCCTTTTTCGGTAAGTTCATCAGTGGCGCTGCTATCTTAGCGTACTATGGCACGAACCTTTTGTAGTAGTTGGCGAAGCCTAGGAACTGCTGCAATTCCTTGAAGTTCTCTGGTACTTTCCACTTCATGACGGCTTTGATCTTCCGCAGGTCCACGTGTATGCCCTCGGCACTCACCATGTGCCCGAGAAACTGCACCGTCTCCACGGCAAAGTCGCTCTTCAACAGCTTCACGTAGAACTTGTTCTCCCGCAGGATCTCGAAGACTTTCCGTAGATGCTCTACGTGCTCCTTCATGTTCTTGGAGTAGATGAGAATTATGAGAATGTCGTCCAGGTACACCACCACGCACTCGTCTTGCAGGGGACATAGGATGTGATTCATCTTCGCTGGAATGTCACTGGTACGTTGCAGATTCCGAACGGCATCACTAAATATTCGTAGGAGCCGTATCCGGTATGGAAAGCCGTCTTGTGGATCGAGTTGTGTGCCAATTTGATCTGCCAGTAATCCGACCGTAGGTCCAGCTTCGAAGATACCGTTGCACCACGCAGTTCGTCTAGAAGATCGTCTATGCGCGGTATGGGGTATTTGTTCATGACTGTCTGTTTATTCAGTGCCCGGTAGTCGATGCACATCCGTAAACTACCGTCCGGCTTTGGAGTGCAGAAAACTGGTGCACCGTAGGGAGAGGTGTTAAAATGTGAAAGCGAGAATGAATGAACTAACAGCAAGATGGGTACAAGTACTAACCCTAATTAGGTTGTACCCCATATGGGCTACCCCACTACAGCCTACACAACATCTAAGTTTGACACACCCCCATAGGCAAAGTGGGGGAGAACAAGAGGTCACAAGACCATTCAAGAAAAGCAAAGCAAGCTCAGGGTGGATCACGAAGTCACGACACACTCCGAGCACAAGCAAATGGCCACAAGGACAGTCCACATGCAGAGTTATATTATAGAGAACAAACAGTACAGTGATCAAAACCTAGCAAGTGCAAGCATGCAGGTATATGTATATAGATCACAGTACAAGCAAAGTCAAGAAGTGAGCAAGTGAGGCCAAGTAGGTACAAGGCCTAAAACAGTACAGAAACGCTGATGATCACAAGGCTGATGTGCTTTGGTGAAGATATCAGCAGTGTTGGCCTGGGAGGCCACGTAAGCAAGACAAAGCTGACCACGCTGCTGCAACTCTCGAGCAAGGAAGTGACGCAGAGTGATGTGCTCCAGTCTTTGCTGCTGACACAAGGCGATCATGGCCTTGTTGCCGACGTACAGAACTGGAGGAGAACGAGGCGGCTCTCCCAAGTCGGTCAGCAGGTAGGTGAGCCAGCGTAACTCCTGTGCAGCCATGGCCCCTGCGTAGATCTCAGCCTCACAACCGGAACTGAGAACAGAAGACGAGCGGGTAGACCGCCAAGAAACAGAGCCGGAGCCAAGGCTGAAAGTGTAACTCTGTGACGACCGCTGCGTAGCCAAGTCGTCAACCCAAGAAGCGTGTGCGTGTCCAGTGAGGACAACTCGACCCCGTCCTCCAAGCACGAGCCCCATGCCTGACGTACTGCACAAGTAGCGCAACACCCTCTTGACGGCCTGCCAATGCTCTGGTCGGTGTCTCCCGGACGCAACGTAGCGTGCCAGGATGCTAAGAGGGTAGGCTAGGTCAGGTCGAGTGCAGGTCATCAGGTACATGAGGCAGCCCACAAGCTCTGGATATAGGCCACTCGGCTCAACGGACTCGTCCGAAGGTGGAGCTGAGAGAAAGTGACCGGTAGGCAGAGGAGTGGACTGTGGCGAGGAGTACTAGAAATCGAAGCGCTGAAAGACCTGCTGCACCATGTGTGACTGAGTCAAGGTAATGGTGCACCGTGCTCTGTCCTGGGTAATCTGCAAGCCGAGATAGCTGCGCAGCTCACCCAGGTCTGTGCACGTGTGTCTCTTCTGCAGTTCCGACTTCACTAGGGCCAATCCCTCAGTGTCAGCAGTGGCAAAGACCAAGTCGTCGATGTACACGACGATGT